ACCCAATCGGACGTGTTGTTATGGAGATATTGGCCTTCAAAATATGCACCTATATTGTGACATCAGGGGTCACGCGATTACGTCATGATGATGTCAATGTTTGGCACACATCTTTAGGTGCTGGTCTAAGTGTGTGCGAGTATAAAGTCAATCGGATTGATTTTAGTGCCGACAGTGCCTTCCACAATGAAAACGTTACCGACTATTAGTCCCATTAAACCCATTGGTCGCCAAAAGATGCCTATCTTTACATACCAGTACTAGTAAGGCAGGAGAAATGAGTTCCCATGCACCCCCCTAAAATAAAATTCCAAGATGATTTTTAGAAACCCTAGGACATCTAATAAAAGGATTTTGATGTTGCCAGCGATAGAAAATGTCCCATGATGCCCTATTTTCATATTTCCAAGATGGCTGCTGTGCAAATAATTAAAAACGCTAAGTGTCATATGTCAATAACTAATGAGCCGATTTTGATGATCCTGGTGTCAAAATTATACATTTCTGGGGTGCTGAATCAATTTTCGAGGTTTTCAAACTGGTTGGAGGTCAAGGCCATGCAATTCAGGCGAAAGTCAAGGTCATTTTGGTAAAAAAAGTGTCATATTCATTTTCCCACTTGCATTATTTTTTACCTAGCTCCCATAGATATGGTGATAGAGGCCTACTTATTGCTTCACAAATTTTCCACATTATCCCAACTACCAAATCCATTTAATTACAAAAGATGTGGCATTTTATTTTGGAGCCTTGACTCAATATTTGACCCACCCCCTAAGTTTGGGATATTGACCCAATATTATGGAAATCTTAAAATAGAGCCAGTGGATAAAAAGCTTAACGTTATGTTTATTTTTTTTTAGGGTCATGGAATTGATTGATAGTGGTTTAGAAGTAATCAGAGGTCATTTTCTTGCTCAAAGGACAAGGGTCAAGGGCATTTTATTAATAGACAACTTCATTGTTTTGACTTTCCGACATACAATATTTTTGTCCAACTCCCATTGATATGGTAATAAAAGCTTATTGGTCAGAATTTTTTTTTTTTAACCCAAAGACAATTCTATGTCAACATTATGGTTAGTCATCATCTTCGAGGTCATAGGATGTGTCAATTTGAGGTCTTCATCATTGTGTTAAGGTCATCTTCAAGGTCATAGGATGGGAGAAATAACTACAACTTAGCGCAAAGACCTTGTTGCAATTGATGAACATTTATTACTTAAGTAATTCCTGAACCGGTCATTACAGAAAGATTACTGAGCTATTTATAACAAGTGACGTTGTGGCGAAGTCTTAGGGAAATCTTCGTCATCAATGAAAACATAATCTTCGTCAATCTCGATAGCCTCTTTAGGATACCACTTTCCACTTCGCTCTTTTGCTGGCCCTCTTCATTTTCAGCAGCATCAGTGTCCAACGGATCAACGAGTGATGGGAGCAAGATAGGGCCAATTGACCAGACAGGCTCCAGTACCCCCTCAACTGTCTTCAGCCACCTTTGACCCTCATCATACGTTTTGGGAGCCTCAAAATTAGGGTCAGCAGCACGCCTGTAGCCGGCCACACGGTGGTTGACGCACTGCACATGAGGGATGAGTTAGTTATGCTTGATGGCAGGCGTACCATGTCAACCTTCCTCTTGCAGTTAAGCTAGTGGTCCTCTCCCTGAGCAGCTTGCTCCTCACCACATTCGCATATGCAGTCTCACGCGCTTGACCATACATGGCACGGGTGAAGGCCTCCAACTGCTCCTGCACCTCTGGGGTCACCCTCCACGCCGGGGTCACCTCTGGGGTCACCTGTCACGCCGATCTGCCTGTAACACAGTTCACGATATACGATCACTACATGAAGCACAATGAATTTGAAAGAACACTTGCATATGACTATATAATTGTTGATATTGCAAATGTGCTGATATTGCAAATGTGATTTGCTTGAAAGCTTTGTGGAACTTGGTGTTCTACTGAAGCTTCTTCATTGGTGCCACCTTCCCCTTGCACTGATGTAGTCCTCCCCGAGAACACATAACGGTAGGCCAAGTACCCAGCAAACATGACGGTACAGGGTCGATGCCGGTTTGTTGTGGGCTTGTTCTGTATTGTGCTATAAAAGCCATATTTCTCAGTGCTTACAACAATGGCGGATGTACCAAAAAAAACCCAAAAAAGCTGTCAAGGTCAAGCTGTATGATTCATTGAGTACACCTCTTCCAGCTTTCCAAGCGTAATATTTCTATCGCAGCAAACCGGGTCTAATTCCTGAGGTTTGACATTCCGAAATACCTCGGGAGCAGTGCCTTCGAAGCAGTGCTAGGTCTGCTCCCCAGGAAATCTCGCACATGTCTGATAGCCTACGAGAGCACATACAAGCAAAGGATTCGGATGTCACTTGAATGCTTGCACACCTCACGACCACATGTGCTTGCAGGACAGCGGGGGTCTGGCGTACGACACCTATGGGTCAGAGTTGGTTATACGATCATCCACGCCTGGTCACAGAGGCAGGGCACCACCAACACCAAAGTCATCACATTTTAGCAATAACAACACCGGCACAGTCATCATGTTTTAGCAACGCTACTACAGCTATATGGTCACACACATTTTTCGGGTGAGACACAAGTTTTCAGCTCCATACATGGTCATATTTTCTGAGTTTTCTACGGCGTTCCTGGTGGGCATTTCACACTGCTATATGCGCCGTACTATGGGATCGTGAGGTATTTTCTCCCAAGGTCACCGGTCTCAATCTCCGCAGTAGTGACACCGCTGCCCGCTGGACTGTGTGAGGAAATAGCGGCGTGACACACGCGCCCGCTCGACATCAGGACTGACTTGGATTTTCCGGTGGTCACTCAAGGTCTGAATCCAGACTTGGGACATGACAATGATGAGTGTTGTATATAAATTGCAAGGGAGGCACTGGGTCAGCCCAACTCTTATCATGGAGATCGTTCCAATGGTGTATCCAGAACAGAGTCACACTCAGAGCAACATATTTTCCAGAGCCAGCTTTAACTTGAGGGAACATCATCCCGACAGAATAGACACCTTGGCCCAACATAGTGCAGGTGTTATTCACACTGATTGTCCTATCACATAGAGATCTGTTCATGTAGGCAAACAACAATTAGCTATCGGTTTCTCTGCTCTCGAATAACTAATGCTTGAGCATGGCACATACATGTAGATGCACTGTCATGCATTGCTGCTTATATGCCTCTTCCCCCTTATCTGGCAAATTAAGAGCTACAAGGGGTGATCGATAAGTTCGTGGCCTAAGGTAGAGGGCGATGATTATACTATAGTGTGCAAGTTGATTACAGAGAAAGTTTGAAGTTATTATCTGTTCTTGTTTTTCTGTTACGGATAATTAAACCTTGATAGTCACTGGTTCCTTAGAATTAAACCAAACAAACTAAAAAATGGCAACACTGTCCCTTGAAAGGTTGTGCCGAGTCCGTTTCTGATCAGGTTCAAGGAGCTTCGGGGCCCAACGAGCTGACACCTTGGACATTTGGACGCAATGGCTGATTTTTCCATATTTTTTTCATTTTCAAGGTTTAATTCTCAAGAAATGGTGACTGTCAAGGTTTAATTATCTGTAACAGAATAATTGACATGCCGAACAAGAAAAAATAAAAAAAACAGAAAAACAAGAAAAGATAACTTCAAACTTTCTGTGTAATTATTCAACAAGTTGAACTGCTCACAATATTATTCAAAACTGTATAGCTCACCTCCTTCTTCCTTATGCCACAAAATTATCAATCACCCGTTGAATTATGATAAGATTTGATGCATGTTGATTTTGTTTTCTTATTTTTGCTGTTGTTTTGCTTGTATGTGTATAGGGCCTTGAGCACCTTACGGTGGATATGTTTGCACTCTATAAATGCCTATTATTATTATTATTATTATTTGCAATACCCAAAACGAGATGAGAGATCTTATGCTTGTCCGCGTTGGATCAACTCGACTCAAGCTGCGTCCCACAGCCTTAGAGCTCGAGCGTCTTCTGTAGGATTCTTGCAGTTCCAAGAAGAGCCGCCTTCTGCAGCAATTTCACCTTCACGGTCGAGCCGATCTCGTCGAGATGTTTCTCCAGGGACTTGGGAATGGTACCCAGGGCCCCCACAATGACTGGAATGACCTTCACCTTGACCCTCCACAACTTGCGTAGTTTCCTGGCCAACAAATCCTGGTACTTTAATTTAATACCTTCTCCTTTTCTTTCTTTGCAACCCGGGCATCACCAGGCACTGCCACATCTATAACGTGGCACATCTTCGCATTCTTATCTACATGATCTAGGACAACAACATCCGGCCACCTATGCTCTACAACATGGTCAGTCTGAATGTTGAAATCCCAGAGAACCTTCACCTCCTCAGTTTCCAGAACCACCTCCGGAACGTGCTCCCACCGCTTGTCCTTGACCTTGATCCTCCGTTTTTGGCAAACATCCCAGTGGATCACCCTGGCTAACTTGTTGTGCCTCTCCTTGTATTCCGTCTGTGCCATCTTGCTGCTTTCGCAAACTAAATGAAATAAAGCCTCCTCTTTCTCTCCATACATCCTACACATTGGAGATACACCATAAGGGAGACACGTTATCATAATTTCTTCGATAGTGAGGAAACACCGGTCATTAGGGAGACACATATCTGTCTCCCTAATGGCACAGCCTCCCCTTTAGAGGCCACATTTCCTGACACAATTAGGTTACATTTGTTGCTCGTGGTCTAATTAGTAAACGTACCGAAATTCGTGGAAAAAGGACAAGGGAATATTAGGTTAGGGCACTTTTAAGTTTGAATAAGTCTATGGGAAAGTCTCCCTAATGACCCATTGCTGGTAATAATTATTGTTATTACTTTTTTAACTAGCAGTTGTTCAGTCAAACTAAAGTATTCAGTTAAGCTACACAATTAAAAAGAAATTGAGTATCCTTTGTACTTCAGGTAACAATGAATTCACTTTTTCAACAAATAGGAAATGTCGCCGATGCTTTGGAGACACATCCTCCTGATGTTTTCATTTCAAATGATGGTGGTTACAACTGGACAAAAGCATTATCTGGCCCCCATCACTACACTGTAACAAACCATGGTGGTCTTTTGCTGGCTATATCTGCCGAACAGGATGTCACCAATACTATCAAGTAAGAATTACTTTCATCTTCTTACAAACCTAAATTTAAAATTCCTAACAGCTGCATAGTGAGACTTGGTCTGTTCTGTAAATTGCATTTGCAAAACCTCAAGTTTTGTTTCCTTCAGTCGGAAAAAAAAGAACCATAAGGCCCAAAAAAAGGGAAAAAAAAGAGTTGGTCTCTGGTCAGCGCGCGTGTCGATTTTGATCATGCGCATCAGTGGTTTTTTTATTTCAAATTTTCTGCAGTAGCTACTACAGTGCCCTCTATTGCGCCTCAAAGTTTTGTTTAAAAACAGGTTCTGTTGTTCTGAAAATGTAGCAGGGCTTGTTTTTAAAATGTTTTGGAGGCAAAGTCCAGAGTCATAAAGAGTTGCCTTGGCTGTACGGAAAATGTGAAGGAAACGGGTACCGAGGCAAACGAGGAGGGAGCCTACCTGTAGGCAAATGAGGGGCACCAAGGAATGGGGAAGGGCACAAAGGCAAATGATGGAGGGCATTAAGGTATATGAGGGCACAAAAAAGCAAACTTGTACCCACCTTGTCTGTAAAATCCAAGCTTAAAGAAAAAAGATCCCCCCCCCAAAAAAAGAAAATGCATCGCCGCATCAATTCCGGAACTTTGGTCTGACCAGAGACCAGCTATTTTTAATTTTTTTTTGCCTAAGCTTGTTGAAACCACCTAACAAGTTGCTTCGTAAAGGCTTGCAATATATCTGCCAATTAGTAACTAAGTAAAGATACTCTTCTCATGATGATGTCGTTTTTAAAGATATAGAAATTTGTGCATTTTGTTCGTTTGAAGCAACAAGAGTGCTCAAAGTCTAAAGAAGGGTACTGAACAACTAACCTGTTGAAGTTTCAGCTCAGCTTCAGCTGTATATTCCGAGAAAAACAGCATTCTAGGATCTCAATTTCAAATCAAAAGTTGCTGAATCATGTTTTGAATTGGGCCTGAATTCAGCGTCCGAGACACGTTCTCACTGAGCCGATTGCAGCTACGCGATGTCGTGCACTGATCCGACGAATTATAGCAACCAACCGCGCGTGTGCGTTGGGCCAATACTTAAGCGCGCTTTGCCGAATAACAAAACAAACTACTAATTTAAATTTTCTACGGTGTGTCTTAAGAAGCACCATTGGAAAGGCCTTCTATCGTTGATTACTTCAAATGACAGCTTGCCAGAAAGAATAATTTCACAGGGAGTTTAGTCCCCTTACTATCTTTCAACCAAGTATGTTTTTTAACAATAATTACGCCAGTTACTTTTCGGATAGCAGCAAATGATGGACTATAGCTTTAAGTGCCATGCAGATATGCTTATAACAATTTGGCATTCTCTAATAGCAATGATGAATTTGCGTCTTTTTAATGCACAGGTTTTCTTATGACGAGGGTCACTGTTGGAATGAATATAAGTTCTGTGATGAACCATTCAGCATTACAGGATTATTGCCAGAGCCAAGCACCAACTCTCTTAATGTTAGCATTTGGGGATTCGGATCAGAGGACAGAAGATGGAGGATTGTGACCATTGACTTCAGTGCTGTACTTAAAGATGAGTGTAGGTAGACGTGAAGAATACCAATGAAACACACATTTTGTTCTGAATTTGAATAAAACAAGTAGACCAATTGAATAAAGGTTTGTTTTCACTGCTCATATCAAGGGGGGGGGGGGGGGGAGTATTACCAATGATGGTCATGCTTTGTTTGTGATGTAAAATTGAGTGGGAAATGTGCATCTAAACATTAATAACAATAACATGGTAATACTAAATCCTTAATTTTAACCAAAACCCCCAGTTTTTTTGGGAAAAATAACATAAGCATATTCCAAATCATTGCCACATTACTCAAATGAAAGGTTTTGTCCCTTTTAATTTGATACCGCATTTGAGGTTGTGATGCTTGTAGTTTTGAATCCTGTATTAAAAAATTGTACGCTGACTGTCTGAAGTCTGTCTGTCTGATGTGTGTGTCACTTTTTTGTTGCAAAAGACCTAAAAGTGTGCGGTAACACAAAATGCAAGGGTTAACTCTTTCAGTGCCCGCGAAATTTGAAAAGTTTAACCCTAAAGTGCCCAACTTAGAGCATTTTTGTTAATTGTTCAAAATTCTGTAAAAAAAAAAAGTAAAGTAAAAAGTAAGTTCTACTCACTAAATTTGTTGTTGCTCTCTGGTATATCCTTGGTATATTGGAAAGTCAATAGTAGTCACATACACAGTGATACACCCTGAAACACTGTCTTGCACACAGGGGAATTCCGCACTTTTTGCAGAAAATACGAGTGTCAGTGCTGCGCCCTCTCGCAAGAACTCGAATGAAACAAATAAATACAGGTCGTAACTGAATGAAAATGATATTATTAGAAAAAGCAAGAGCGCCCCCTTACTCTACCTCGTACATTGTACGTGTACGAGGTTTGGCAATTTTTAAATACGAACATTGCCTCGTACATGTATGAGGTTGGCGATTTCGAACTAACAAATATACCTCGTACATGTACGACTTTGGCACTGAAAGAGTTAATGGAGAGTGGCTTGGTTATATCTTATAGCTCCATATGGTTGTATATAAGCTCTAATTTCACTGTCCTTTGAAGTCACGGTTGGCATGTGAAAAAAATGATTTGTTTGTTTTGTTTTGCTTTTTTGGCAAGTGTGTTTCTTCTGGGCTTTAAATAGTTGAATATTACAACATTATCACTATGAAAACACTCCGAAAAGTATCGTCAACATGCAAATTGAGGTCAAAGTAATACATTAGTATATATAAATAACGGTCGATCGTACGCGTAGAAATTTGTACGATATGAATATGCACATCAATTGAAGGCGCACTGATCATGATTCACAGCAACATTATAGGGGGTTTTCGAAACCTTTGCTTTGGCTTCTGCTTTTCTTCTGACTTCAAAATCACTGAGAGGCGAACCAAATGGGAATATTCCAACTTTTGGCTTCATATCAACCGATTGAATGTTCCTGAAACATAACAGGCACCAAAATGTAGCTGGAGTTCCAGAAGTTGAGGGTCTAAAATCTACGTAAGACGAAGCCAAAGCCAGTCGTTGTGAAAATGCTCATATGATAGTTACATGATGAAAGTTCCTTGAAAAATCTGTCAAGTTTTCACTCCAAATTTTTGATTTTCCCACATCGGTTTTCAAAAGCAGGTGCTAATTGCAAAGGCAGGCACTCTGTAGCTGATGTGCTTGGGGGATAATGAATAACTTGGATATTTAGGGGGATTTATCGGACAAGGACGATGAAGAAAATGTTTGTCTGGTCCAATGATTGTATCAAGTCGCCCCCTGGCCAATTTTCCCCAGTTTTTTTTTATTTATTTACCTCTTAATTTTTTTCCACTGACAATTTTTTTAAACCTGTGAATAATACAAATTCAACGACTCATCCCAGCTAGTATTTCCTCTGCCCGATACCACAATAAATGTTTCATCATTGTAGTTATTTACCAAAGATTGGTCCATAAATGCAACTATGACCAACATAAAATGAAATGAGATGTGGCACACCTACCCGAGAGCAATGGGACACACATCAAAATACTTAGCAGTTGGCTCTGATTTTTTTTTTTTTTTTAGTTTGAAACAAATCCGTTTTCTTTGCTTTTTTCTTTTTTTGAGGATACTCAATCATTTCTGTCGTTTCAATTGGTGTCTGTCTTTCAGGTGTTATCTCTGCAAATATTTGTGCAATATCTCTGTATATTAACGACTTCTTTTTGCTCTTACAGGCACAGAAAAAGATTTTGATGAATGGGTTCCACATCTGTCAAATGAAAGGAGAGGCTGTCTTCTGGGGTTAAATGAAACATTTGAAAGAGTGAAACCTGATTCCCTGTGCCGACTGAATTATGCCCATGAGCCTAAAGCCAAACAATCTAATCCATGTTCCTGTACTAAAGATGACTATGAGTGGTAAGTGAATTATCAGCTATATATGATGGGCATTTCTACGAGTTTTCGAGAAAAAAAAGTGTGTGGTTACATGTGAAAAACAAAAGCTGTTTTTGGCTGTTATGTCAGTCTAGACTAAGCTCCTGAGTATATTGACTGGCCATAGACTGGGGCTCATTCTGGTATGACTCAATTATATTGTTTTAACCGTCTTTTCTCGTGCAATCACAGTCTACAATATACAACAGATATTACGGACATTTGAAAACAAGGTTTATAGATTGGCTAACTCCTCACAGCTGTCAGTGACGTTCGACTATGTGTGACTCTTATTGCAGGATTTATGACTAATTGACAATGACATGATGATCAATGTAACTTAGACTTACTTTTGTGGAACGAAATCACTGACTTTGTTATTGTGGCTGCCGCGGTCTCACTTGTGGTGTGAGAAGTTTCAAAAACTATAAGCTCGGACATCTGAAAACAAGGTAACTAAATGACTGGTGTTCACAATCAAAACCAACCAATTACACACCATAAACTCAGAGTCACTTGATAAGCTATGATGATCTCTAAGTGATTAAGATAACAATCTGCAATTTAATAAAGCAGAAAATGTTAATAACATAGAAAAGCCTTATCTATAATAATCCTGTCTAGAGGAATTATGCTGGTGTAAATCAGGTTTGTACTGTGCTGTTCTTACCTGTAGAGCACTGCTACATGCATTATTCTCTTGAGGGCACTTATCATTCACTAAGATTTATGTTCCCACGGTACCTTGCGGCCCGCCCGCTGGCCATTTCACTTCCTCTTTCTCTTAGCACGCTTTGTGAAAGACGTGTATTTCAGAGCTCCAATTTCTGTTCGATTTTTTACTTCTTTCATCAGCCATTCCTGTACACTATGGCTTGTAGTCATTTCTTAGATTCCTTCCAGCCTTCCTTTTGAACGTTATTGGTGTGAGATTTTGTTTTACTGCCTCTTAAACGGAGTGACACTAGGCAAGTCCCTCACTCCCAGTGCTACCTTGGCCAACAGAGTGACACTTCGCCCTCTATGTAAAGCCCTCATGCCCTATTCATCTACTAGACGCTTAGCCTAGTATTAGCCAAGGTCATTTTGTGGGGGGGGGGGACACGTACACAAATGGCACATTGAGTGCTGCAAGATCATCCATGCTTGAAGGTACAGTCGAGTCTCGTTAATACAAACTTGTTCGGACCTAGCCAAATTGTTTGTTATATCAGAATTTAGTATTAAGAGGAACATCAGTCCTATTCATTGTGCACATAAATGCACAGTCGGGACCAAGGCTTTATGTTTGTTATAACCAGAATTTTGTATTAACAGAGTTTGTGCTAACGAGATTCGACTGTAGATAGAGTTTTGTTACCGGCACAGAGCTATATTAAATTGCTAGAGCGCTGACTCGATATACAAAGTGATGCCTGCTGGGCGCATCCATGTTGTGCACAAACCTATGGAAAACTCGAAATTTTGTACGGCTTTTGTATGGCTATTGGCATATCTGCGTTTGTATTCTATATGGATGCGTTATCGAAGCCGATACGCCCAAAAGCGAAATGCTGAGCCAAAGCTCAAAGTGCTTTCAATACTCGCCCTAACTAAAAAAAGCTTGACAGCAGGCCAGCTGTGACCATGTACCTAGCTTGCCCGCTGTCAATCTTTGGTGCCTCAACTGCCTGGACTTTATTACAACTCCGGACATACTCTGAGTGTTCATGGCCAGACTGGGGCTCCCACTCTGCAGCCTAGCTTGCCCCCAATCCACAGAAATGCAAGCATTCTTCTACTGTTCTGTCTGGCCAAGGCCCAGCATTACTCCGGGCTAGTGAAAGCTTGGGCTCTTTCAGTCTTCATTAATGATTTCTCACCCTGACCCAGGTCTGTCATCTGAAATACCTGCATCAGCACTTACCCGCGTTTTACCAAGACTAACTTACCTCATGCTGCAACTTTTCCTTTAGCAGAGATGAAACTTTTCAGATTTTAATCGGTAATCAGACTTTTTGACTTTTCCAATGAAAAGTCAGATTTTTTTTACGATTCCTCCCACAAAATATTTTTTCAACTATAATTTCCCAAAAATCACTGAAAAGTCAATGAAAACGGCACGTAAAAATTATCCAGAGCTTAGTTTTAATTGCTTTCACCTGAGGCTAATGGAGTGCTTCTACGGTAGCAACACCTAGGCTAACACATGATATGGAAAAATCATTGCATCACACGGAAATACAGTGTATGAAGCATGCGTGTAGCACAGTACAGCTGCATACGATGATATGCAACGGTACCTACCAACGTACCTACCGTGCCGCCCACTAGCACATGGCCGGTCGGTTACGGGTAAGCTCATCTGCTCATGAACATGATGAACGATCCAGAGGATAAAATCCAACATGTGCAATTTTCGAAGGTTTCAGATTTAGTTGTATAAAATGCAATGCTTTAAAAATCTCAATGATTGTCCTGAGGATGGCGAAGAAAGCAATAGTGAAACATTTCACTGGCATTTGTTTGAAGAAAAAGACGATAATGCCCAATTTTTTTCACACGTACTATACGGAGTTGTGTGGTTGAATCATGGACATGATTGAATTGTTGTCATGAAAGGTGCCCTTGTCTTTCGGGCTTTTTCCTTGCCTTTCTCAAGTAAGAAGTGAACTTCTTTGTTGATGAGTCCATTACAAAATAACACTAACAGTAGATCAGGCCGTTTGATTTTATGAAAACACTGACCATCTTTTTATCAAAAATTTTCCTTTGGATCAAATTAAAACGGGAGTCGGTGTCCGGAAATTGGGCCTGAAGTGTATTGTACATACAATTGTGTATGTGTATTACAGCCCAGATTTCGGACACGTAATTTTGTTAGGCCTGTTTCCCTGATTTTTCCCCTATGCCAGTTTCATCTCTGCTTTAGATTCTTTGGCTGTTCAGTGTTCAGGGTCCATGATGACCCTTCCACAGTTTCTCTCAACTTAAGGATTGTCACAATCACCAGACCAGTGTAACCCAACCCCAGGATCCATCATGGATGATTGCTCACACTCTCATTTGATTAGCTGTGTCCTCAGCAACTTAAGTCTGTGTTAGAATGCCTTAGTCCATCACTAATTTGGCAGACGAGACAGAAAAAAATCCCTTTTCTTAATGGGCATGGCAGATGAAGTACTGGTTGTCAGGCTGTCAGACTCCACCAGTCCTTGAAGTTCCATCCAACTTTGGATTACGCTGCTGCTTCCAACCATAGGCTGGCTTGTAGCAGTCACTATATCCCAAAGGCTCCAGGCCTCTACCCTCAACTTATGGGGCTCTTTGACCCATTTTACTTGGTCTTAACCCTGGCTATCCTCTGACCATTGATAACTTAACCTCAGTCATGGTTCCAGTTAATGGATGCTCCCAGACCACCCACTGACTAAAACAAGCACCGGGCTCTCTAGGGAGAAATCGAGTGTTTTGACAAGAGATGACATTCAGGCACCATTGCTATGGGACAACACCTTTACTGGAGCGAAAAGGCAGATGCCAGCCATTGCTCTTTCTTCTGCTGACACACCTGCTGTAATGTCCCCATGTGGCTATTGTTCACTTGCTTATTGGTAATCATTTTAAACTTGATTCCAATATGCTGCCTTTACTTATGTCCGCTCCAGCTCTATTTCTGGCCCCTTTCTCCTTCGGTCCAATCTGGTCTCCTGCCTGGCACCGAGTTTGCAACATGTCTGCCTGTACCCTGAATGAGGGTACCGTCTGGGAGGATACAACAAAATGGCGGCCTCTTACATGAATCTCCAGGGTGAGCCCATTTCCTGGCCTCTGCTTTGCAACATGGTACTTCTCAAAAGAGAACGACGGTTAGCTTCTATTTCAGCTCCTGTTTTTCCAAGTCTCAGGCATGGCAAACCGACCCTCTACTATAGACCAGCTGTTTGCCCCCTTTTCCCATATCTCCCATCTCTTCTGAGTGTCCAGGAAGATCAAGGCAGATCGATTCAGAGCTGTTTCTGGGCAAATATGGCAATTTAAACATGTATGGCAGCTTTCTCTGCGATCAGGTGTCCATGCACATTTCATCCGGGCATGGTTTTATACCCCAACTCACCCTTCTTATGTTAGGGGTCCTTGGGCAGGTTTTACACTAACTCGGGCCCCTTCGAGACCCTTAATGAGGCTGCTATCCTGACTATCTCCTTGGTGATGACCTTCCTCTTGATAGTAGCCATGGCTTGCTGCAGAGCGAACTCAGCGAAACCCATCCTCATTAAAGTTCTTTGGAGCCAGGCCATGTATGTTCCAGCCCCATGCCTCCCCTCCCACAGAAAACAGCTCATCAATGATTTTTGACATCTTGATACCCAACTTCAAGCTTCTCTCATCAATTTCGGATGAAAGACCTTGGGTCTGTACCCATAGCTGGTACGTAATTTGGCGGCGACTATCAGACCGAGATTAAATGAAGTTCTGCCGCACCATCTAGCATCTCGCAACACTATCGCCTATTGGGCTGCGTCTGCCATGTGCTTGTATTCATAGATTGGCCTGTACCCCAGGAACAAGGTACATGCCCAAAAAGTCCAGAGTGTAGCTTTTTGATGGGCCTTTTGCAAGGATGTGCCACTAACGGACATCTAGCAAGCCACATGGTGACATCCACCAGCATGTACACAACCTGCTACTTCCAGAGCAAACAGACCATGCAGCCCCTCGACTTAGCATCCCAGCAGCATTACCAGACTCAGTTTGTACACCGCTGGTGCCCCCCAGTACCAAACAGTAAAGGCCTGTCCTCTTTGGTGAGTGCCGATTTCCTGGTTTCGTTCTGATGGGTGTTTATTCATAGGGATTACACTCCCGTGCAGCCCGCTGACCAGCTTGTACACTTTATGTTGTATGCTTGAACCCACCTACCTATATGAAGTAGTGCTCTATGGGTAAGACAAGTGCAGTAGAATCCCCCTCCCCCATTCTACTTGCAAGTACTTACCCATGGAGCGCCCACCTGCCTCCCAACTCTCAAGCACTTGTACTCTCAAGAAAAGAGGGAGTGAAATGGTGGACAGGCCGCTAAATAATGTAGGAAAATGATAGAGAATGGATAGCATCTCTCATGTGGTAATGCTCTACAGGTAAGTATTCGCTAGTAGAATCGGCACACACTTCCGGGGGGGGGGGGGGGTGGTGTCAACATTATCAATATGAGTCACTATTTTGCAGTTTAAAAAAGCTTTCTGCGAACATAACTTTAATTTGGAGTCCATACAAACACATAACCTAGCATGTCATTTACTTCTTATTATGTTTATGCTGCAGATTCACAATTCCTCACAGGTCCATTACAATGCTTCTAGTCCAAATTCAAGTCACTTAAAGTGACGTTACAAAGTTGCCCTTGTTATTTGTTCATCCCTTATTACTTGTAACCACACTTTGAAATTGATATGTTTTCACTTTTTTTATATTCTTCAGTGACTTTGGGTTTAGCCGCAAAGGTGAAAGTAAAGAATGCAAAGTGAGTGCGGATGTTGACCCCTCACACCTGGACATCTGCATTAATGGAAACGAGGAGAAGATCAATACTTGGGGGTAAGTTATACAATAAAACCAGCTTCATCTGTTTAACCTTCATTTTATTCTGTGATCCCATCACTGCATGAATGAAACTTTATAGCTGATGTTCAATAATGGATGTGTATGAGTGCAGTGGTAAGAATAATTTCATGAGGTGACACATAAAATTTATTATTTATATGACTGCACATTACCAAAAAAGCACAAACAAAAATCATAATGCTGTAAAGCCCTATGTTCTGTCCATCAAACAGACATACTTCTAGTTTATTTCAATTTTTGTTTTGGGGGAATGTTTTTATGAACATGTGTAGCATTTTTCAGTTATCATTTTTATTTCATTGCCTTTGATTGTAAATGAGAAACAAAAAATACTATGATTTCAATCACAAAAAGGTACTCTTTTTCTTTTTGGAAATACCAACATTCTGACCAGTTAAGTAAATCTATAAAAAAGAGTCTTAACTTGAGTTCTGGGAAGTAGTAACACCGTGTGACATTGATCGTTGTTTATAAGTTTTGTGGTTTAGAGCTGTGAAATATTGAAATAATTATAACAAAAATGTCAGTCACGTCAACCTCATCCCCAGTGCTTACGTTATTTCCAACCTCGTTTCCAATAGCCCTGGATAGGAAACTTTCTTCCAGCATCCTGATTCGATACCGCAATTGGCTAGAACTGGATTTATATCGTATACTTGGTGTTGTTATTAACAACGTGCAGTACGTGTTTTCGCGATCATTCGTCCACGCCTTATCGAAAATATTCATTTCCTTTCCAGTTTGTTTTTATTAATATAAAATGTGATACTGCATGTTGTCTCGTTAAGATCGTAACAGTTTAATTAATGTAAAATTGTATTTTCGTAACTCATGCCATGCTCGCGCTGCGACAAATTGATTCTGTTTTTACCTCAGACATCGCATACAAAAACAAACACAAATGTCACACACTAGGCATGCACCAGACTATTCCTCATTTGCATACGTGTTCAAAAATCTTGCACATGCAAATGATCCAATACCAGGGTGAGAGAACAGGTAGTGGTGGGTGCGTACTGCTCAGCACTCTGGGGACGAGTTTGCAGTCACGTGTAATGTCAGTCTCGGTCTTTTAGCTTAAGGTAATGTCAGTCACGTTATTGCACTCTGAAGTATATTACAAGTAGAATACTGGTAAGTCCATGTGCATACAATGTACAAGGTGGGTAAAAAATAATGTCACTTTGGATAATTTGTTGTCTCCCACAAAAATGGGAAAGGTTACTATTGATTTGGGGGTCAAAAGGTCAAAGGTCAAAGTCACAGTAGTAAATTAAAGGTTAATGGTTTCCAGATGATAACTTCACTCCTGTTGAGGGGTTTCAACAGCAACACTGTTATTTTTCTTCTCAGTCATCATTCGGTCTGGGTATTAACCATAAGTCAGTAAAAGTTTCACTGATATTCATCCATGCATGAAAAGGATGTATCCATACAGGCCTTTCTTTGTGACTACCCCAAACCATACCAACACGATGTTCAGAATATGCCTTTTGCTGTGAACACGATGGCAACAATGGGCCTGAGGACAATGAAGGAAATTATAGGAATAGCAGAACAAGACATCAATAAATAGAATTACATTTATTGAACTTGAAAGTGAATGACAGATACGGTTATTTTCACTTTGTTGCTTCTCGACCCTCCACCTGTCTGTCATTCAGATCAATGCGTAGTTGTGCCCATGTCCTCATGTCTGCAATAGCTCTGCGGACCATCCGTGTTCTTGTGAGGGCTTGGATTTCACAAGTAATCCTGGTGAAAGTCCTGCAGGGTGTTTGGCACAATGCAGTACACCCGGTCCTTGAGGTGCCCCAAAGAAAAAAAATTGAAGGGGGATATTAGATTTTGAGATCTTGGCGCATCTTATTCAGGTTCTTGGCAGACTTATGACTCGTGACTCAGACTCGGACTCGAGTCAGACTCGAGTCACATTTTTAATGACTTGGACTCGCACTCGAGTCACTTTGACTTACGACTCGGACTCGGACTCGGGGCTACGGACTCGAACTGACTTGTGACTCGATGGAAATTACCGCACTGCACACGCACACATACGTAAGTCGATCGTTTTCTTTACTGTGCAATACATGTACAGGGCGCTCGATACGGTGCGTGTGTGGCCGTGGCCGGTTACCGATCTATTGATTAAAGAAATCAATGTACCGAAACTTGTACCCCGCCGTCCGCACGCAATACTGCATTGGTGCAAGATTGATAGGGTAAGGTACCAGACTTTTCTTGGCAGACGTCCTGTCGTTCACTCGTGTATTGCTGTCGCATCGCGATAACGCGATATGATTAGTCTGCTGATCTGCCAGTTTCGGTAACGTTACATGCAAGTTGCAATGTACGTAGATCATGATAGCATCCACTCCAAAAATTGTCAATTTTGGGTATCTTAACTTCAAGAGAAATGCCAATGGAAGATCAGGTGCAGAATGCAAGTTCTGCAAGAGGAAATAGAGGAGAAAACCGGCACTACGTCAAACTTCAATCGCCACCTTTCATAGAAGTCTAAAAAAAGATATTTGAAACGCCTGAACTTTAAATGCAAAAGTTAGTCCAATACCAGTTTTGTCTGAATTGCCTTTATAACTGTTTTTGCGAATGAACTCCTCATTTCCAGAGAAAATTAGAGAAAAGCTGTGGGGAAAAATGGAAATTTACAGCACCTAAAATGTATGTTTTTCCAATACTATATCAAAGGTGACTCTGAATCTCTGAATTCCCTAAAATGTATGTTTTTCGATACAAAGAGGTGACTCGTGACTCGGGACTTGGACTCGACCTTTGTGACTCGTGACTCGGACTGGGACTCGACCTGGAGGACTCGGGACTCGGACTTGGACTCAAGAAATGTGACTCGGATTCGGACTTGGACTCGATGTTTAGTGACTCGAATACAAGTCTGGTTCTTGGTTGTGGCATTAACGTTGAATACCCCCTTAAAATATTGAGAAACATTGTGTTGTTAGTGTTTTTGGGTAGTTGCAAAGAAAGGTCTGTATCCTTTGCATGCATGGATGAATATTAGTGACATTTGTACTGAATGTGGTCAATACTCAGATCGAATGTTGGCTGAAGAGAAAAGCTGGTAAGCTTTCTTCCTTTGTGGGAGACAACAAATTTTCCAAAGGGACATTTTTTTTAAACTCACTCTGTACACGTGGTAAGCATTGTTGTAGTACTCGTACTCGGTACTCGTATAATTTTTTTTTAGAGTACTCATACTTCAATGTCAAAGTACTCATACTCGTAACGACGGTACTGGTACTCGGGCAGCAAAGTACTCGTACTCGACATGTCGAAATTATACTCGATCATCAAAGTACTCGTACTCGAATAACAGTACTCCAAATGGTATCGCTTGACTTACCGCGGCCTTATTTTATTATAATAAAGAACGTGCAACTGTGTAAAAGTCGTCGTTGCGGGCAGCAAACAAAACACAGTAAATCGTGACGTAATAAACAGGACTCCCGATGCACAGTAGCATACACGAGTCCTGTTTATTACGTCACGATTTACTGTGTTTTGTTTGCTGCCCGCAACGACGACTTTTACACAGTTGCACGTTCGGGTCGAAACTGGACCTGAAAAACAGCTCTCAAAAGTACCTTTTGTACTCATTTCATGACAGAAACAATAGTTGTTTTTATTTCATCACACCTTAGGCTACATATACCCGAAAAATGACGGAAATGTCTTCGAGCATTCCACAACCTCTTTAACTATTACATGTATTTCTACACTCCCATGTATACTATTAGTGTACCGGGTATTTCCCGTGTATGTGTATGTACATGTATGTAACAATCATAACAATCATGGAATGTGGAAATGAGTGTTGGAACATCCTCTTAATGGCTGGAAGTTAAGGTGAAGTTGAATCACATGCAAAACACATTTTTCAATTTCGGCTCTCTATAGATATCGTAAAATTCCTGGAGATATGTGCGTAAATGGTTTTCAGCCAGTCAGAAGCATGGACACACTTCAGCAGCAGTGCACAAGTGGTCTGGAGTCTAACTTGTCTGTGGAGCAGGTGAGAATAACCAAAGTTTAGTGTCATGGCAAAACGGTCTCAATTCATTTTAAACTATTTAGAAATAACATCACAAGCCTTAGAAAGTATAAATAAAGACAGTCTTTGATTCTTATGTTACAGATACATAAATCAGTCAGATTTTTTGTTTTTATGCTCAGCCTTGGTGAACAGCCACTGTTTTTGCCCGCTCGAGTTGGGCATGCGAGAATGTGCGCCATGTACTTGACGTGCTGTTTTAGACAGAACTCGCTCGCTCGGGATGTCCGGCAGATTTTCAGTATTTCGCCAGCATTTTACTTGTACACGTCGGTGTCCTCACCGTCCATGTTCTTCTTCTTGCTGAACCCGCCTTTGACTAGCTTCCTGCAGAAATTCACCCACAGGCTGTCAAGCTTGTCTTGTACGGAGGCTTGGAGTCGTTCGGTTTGCACTGCATAGACTAGTCTGCTGCGCACCATTGCCTCCAACATCCGGACCCGTGTTGCCATCTTCACCTCCTTGTCCGTCAAGACGTCCTTTAAATGGTCTTGTCTTTAAATGATTTGAGCTTTACATGGTAGATTACATCATTTCATAGTGGTGTTTCATAGTCTGCTAGTGATGAGGCCAAGAACAACCAAAAATTACTTCTGCTTCCAATTACATGACTTTCAAAAATAGGATCAGTCAGTCGGAAAATCTTTTTATTTTGATATTTTTGCAATTTTGTTTATGTGCAGATTGAATGGAGTATTTAATCATATGCATATTGTTGGTTTGAATTATTTTCATTTGCACAACAAAAGCAATCAAAACCACCCTCAAAAGTGATAAAACCTTACCTTAATTAGTCCTCCTGCTGTCTAAACAGTCACAGACGATCAAAATTCACTTCCACTTCCCCTGCTTTACTTTTAACAATGGCTAGTCACCAGCAGTCAGATCAAACAGGCAAAGCTGGCAAGTTGTGGTTTCACGCCTTTTTTTTTTATGCCCGCGGCGAAGCCCAAGGGGCGTACTGTTTCCGCCTTGTCCTTCCGTGGGTGGTTGGGTTTATACGTATACTGACTTATGGGGTACCGGGAACAAAGAGCAACAATAGGGACAATGGTACCCTGCAAGTCGGTCTTTAGAAATCTCAGTACCCCATACGTAAAATGCTATGGAGTTTGAGATTTCAATGGGAACAAAGGAGAATAAAAGAAGGGAAGTCAAGTGGACAATAGTGGTACCCCATAACTACCCAAAACATGTATGTCTGAGTTTGTCTAACAGTCACTATGTGGGCATGTGAACAAAAGATGTCCACAAAATTCAGGGTGTGTTGACGTTATGTGGACTAAGCTGTGTCCACATAACATTTCGCCCTCTCTGGAAAACAGGTTTAGGGGCATTTTTGGGTTAGGGTTACCTGTCGCAGAATAAAGAGAAACATTCAAGGAAATCAATAAGCAAATTTTGGGTTGAAAGAGTCTTCACAATTAAAGTAAAGTTATTTTTTGTACCGAGTTTTCTTAACTACATGAAAACAAAGGAATGTCCACATAGAGTATCTAAAACTCTGTTACAACTGTAGCTAAGGCCTGTCATGTAGCTGAAGTAATTAATGAGATATACGCACTATAAATGACCATTACGGATATTACACTGTAAGACATCGATTTTTGTTTTTCAATACGCATTGATAAAAGTCTGTGAAGTTTTTTGCAAGTATTGAATGAAATAACTATGTTGTAGTAGAGATAGGTTCTCTATAGGGAGGGGGGGGGGGGCTGGTACCGTCTTATGCACACAAAGGGCAAATATATGGTGCTTTTCAGGGCGATACATGTGCGAAATTCTGAAAAAAGGCACCCAAAACGGCAGATGCCAGAATAAAGGGCACCACTTCTTTTTTGAAAAGGACACTAGTTCATAAAAAAGGGCACTTCATAAAAAAGGGCACTATTTACAAATTATTGGGGGGGGGGGGTTTAAGCTCGATGAAAAAAGGGCATTTGAATGGAAAAGGGCATTCTTTACAAAATATTGGGGGGGGGGGGGGAATACCCCCCTTACCCCCCCCCCCCCAGGCTACGCCTATTGGGGAGGGGGGGGGGGGTATTCTCAAGTTGCCTTGGGTCAGATTGGGTTCAGGGGAATAAGATCAAATGTCAACAATTTCGAGTTGAATTAGCATGTCGCGCACAAGTGCCGTTTTTATCCCCCATGCTGCAAGCCGGAGGGGAATATTGCGACAGCTATTCCTTCTGTGTGTTTGTCTATGCGCGTTTGTTTATGGTGTAAATCGAGGTCACACACGTGCAACATCATATATGAATCGAGGTCAGGAACCAAATGGACAACTCATCGGTTGGAAAACGTGTAAAACCAATGAGAGCTGTTGCGAAAAAGTTTAAGTACAAACAAAGGAAAAGGGAAGAGAAAAAAAAAGAAAATCCTCGATTTACACCATAAACAAACGCTCTTGTATTGTATTACGCTCGAGGACAGACAACAAAAGGAGCACAAAGGGGCCTTTGATCCTCGGACGACGGTGCCTATTGTTAAAAACTGGTCCTCTATCGTACGGTTATGTGCTTAGTCTATGGGAAAGTGTTATATTAGAGGGACAAAGGGAAACACAATAGGTTGTCCTCAGGCGTATAGTAAAACACGACTGTGCGCGCATGTGTGTGCGTATGCATTTTTTCTGTGTGTGTGTTATGTTTTGGTTAAGTTAACTCTTGTCGGCACGATAACTTGAAAAATACTTTACTTACAATATATGAACTTGAAATTTGGTTGTGGGTTGTTCTTGGTAGCCTTATCAAGCCTATTGATTTTGGGACCGATAGGTCAAAGGTCAAAGCATTATTTTGCTAAAACAATAGAAATCTACTATTTTGGTTAGGGATACTCGCTTTACAAAAAACTGCCAGCATGCCAGGGGGATTGCGCAAGTCTCACTTGCAGTATTTTTGGATTAAAGTGTTGAGACAATAACTGGGAAACTGATCAAGTGACTGGTCACCAGCATCGTCATCTTATCAGCGAGTTGTTTCTGCACACTGTTGCTAGAGTGGGCTTGGATCAAGTAGTCAACTTCCCTACAAGTAGAACCAACACACTCGATCTTATATTAATAAATTCCCATCATATGTTACCAGATGCGAGAGCTCACCAGGCCTAAACAATCATGACATCATTCTTCTTGACACAAATGTACAGGCACAGAGGCGAAAACCATCTCGTCATATGATATCAGTGATGTAGTGCCTTGATGCTGGGCCTTGGCCTTAAGGCTGGATTTTAGGGCCTTGGCCTTGGCCTCGAGGCTTGAGGGCAAAAGCCTTTGCCTTGGCCTTGAGGGTTCAGGGCCTTGCAATTTTGAGTCAAGACTCTTCAAGGCCCATAGATTTTTGCACTTTCCAGATAAATCTGTTGTAAATTTTGCTGTTACCATTTTAATCGTATTACCATGGAGGAGGGAGGCACCCTATAGATTTGTGTGTTGGGCACACTTCCACTTTTATAGCATCATATTTTGTTACCATTGTAGTAGATTTGCTGCAAAAATATTCCGTACACTTGTGGGGCTAATGAGATGATCACTTTAATTGCATATAACTATGGAATAGATCTGATTGGTTGTATATGTCTCCCTGATAAGTGCTAAAGATTTGCATGTATCTGTTTTAGATGATGCTGATATTTCTGACCATGTTGGGCAAGCAAATAAAAATTTCCAAAATCAGTTTCTTGGATCCCCCTTTTGTTACACTTGGGAAAATTGTGTGTCAATATAGAAGTAAATCATTATTTTGTTTAGTTAAACCATATTGAAGACCTGAACTTATACTTTAATAGATACAATGCAGTCATAAAACGGTGTAGGCCTATGGGAGCATATTGATTGCAATTAAAGAAATGTTGTTCTACGTAACGAGCAATTTGTGATGATAAGGGCGGATCCAGAAGGGCCAAAAGGGGCCATGCCCCCCCCCCAAAAAAAAAACGAAACTATTTTTTTTTCATGTGACGTCGTAATAAAGGCAGGCAATGAGAACACCACCATCTTTTCCTAAAAAAACATCGGTTAAAATGGTCAGAAATTGCCTCAAATCGCACCACAGAGCATCTCGAATCCAAAAAAAATTCGGGGCCCTTAAAGCGGGCCCCGAAGCCCAAGCCATAATTTTTTGCCCCACTTTTTTTGGGGGGGGCCAAAATTTCTTGGCCCCCCCCCCAAACTGTGTTCTGGATCCGCCCTTGCGTGATGATATGTCACTCATGTGACTATAATTAGTTCTATATCAGTGGTCATTTCATAAAACAGGGCCTTGGCCTTGGCCTTGAGGGTTAAGCCTTGGCCTTGGCCTCGAGGCTTTAGGGTCAAAGCCTTGGCCTTGGCCTTGAGGGTCAAAGCCTTGGCCTTGAGGGTCAAGGAACAAAGCTTATGGAACAGTGCTGATTTTGACACCTTTAGGGCAGAGTCTAAGTTGTGGGCTGACAGCATTGTTGATAGTTGCTCTGTACATACTCGAATCAAACAGCTGGCGACTGAAGAGCAGGACGGTCTGGAAATATCGATGCAGGAGCATGTTCCATCAAAGCTCAGTACCACAAGATTCAACCAACCGTGGTTTAATTCATCATCAAAGAGCGTCACGCAGGAAGTCACATGCTTTCAAGAAAGCCAGGCGTACCAATAAAGAGTGGGATTGGCTTCGCTTCAGACGCCTAAGAGAAAGAGTCACAACAGACGTGTTGTCAAGCCTATGTAACCAATATATCATAACCATCGTCTGCTCTGAGCCCTTCAGGAACAAAAAACTTGGTGGGTTGGTGAAGATAAAACGATGCGATCAGAATGGAGTAGCTCCTCTGAAGGATGGCAATTTCATGCATGCCGACCTGAAAACCAAGGCAAACATCCAGAACAAGCAATTCTGTTCAGTGTTCACCTGCGAAGGTTCTGCGGACCTACCGACTTGGGTTCCAACCCTCACCCTACCATCGATGATATCCAAGTCAGTTGCCCTGGGGTAATCAAGCTTTTGAAGAACCTGAAACCACTAAGCTTCCATAGATCAGGGAGTAGTTCCGTCAGCATGGAAGAAGGATCTTGTTGTACCCTTGTTCAAGAAAGGCAACCAGTCACTGGCTGCAAACTACCATCCGATATCGCTGACAGCAATCCTACATGTATGTAAGTTTAATATGTGCTCATATATATACTTCATTGTGCTGTTATTCGCCATCTCACTCAGCATAACATCTTATCCGATGCACGGCACAGCTTCAGAAAGAGGCGATCATGTGACACCCAACTGATTCTGACCAACCTTGACCTAGCTAAAGGGCTTGATGAAAAAGGGCAGATTAACCTTCTCTTACTGGATTTCCAAAGCCTTCGATAAGGTCTCCCACCGTCGACTCCTTCAGATGGTTGATTACTACGGCGTCCAAGGTCACTTTTTGCAGTGGATCCAAGATTTTCTCCACAATCGTACACAACAGGTTATTGTTGATGGGAGAGTACCAGTTACATCAGGTGTGCCCCAAGGGAGTGTATTAGGTCTACTTCTCTTTTTGATATACATCAACGACCTGCCTTCCTGCGTCAAAAGCTCAACAACCCGCCTTTTTGCAGATGATTGTGCACTGTACAGACGTATCTCATCGAGTCTTGACATCATCTTATTGCAAGATCTGGATGCACTGTTCAAGTAGGAACGTACATGGCTGATGGAGTTCAATCCAACCAAGTGTCAGGTAGTACGCATCACAAACAAGCGGAAACCAGTCCCATCATCATATAACATCCGTGGACACAGTCTGGAGGAGGTTGACTCTGCCAAATACTTGGGTGTTGATGCAGTAACAAAGAAGGCTAATTCCACGTGAGCTTTTCTCAGCCACAACTTCAGCTGTTGCACTCGCAGAATCAGAGAGGCTAGCTACATGACATATGTTCGCCCCATCATTGAGTACGCCGCTCCAACCTGGGATCCCCACACTGAAAAAAATATTAAAAAACTGGAGCAAGTTCAGCACTGGCAACTACGACCGCACCTGCAGTGTAACATTAATGCTACAAGACTTGCACGGGAGTCCACTCAAGGCCAGATGTCTTCAGAGCCATCTAAGGATGCTTTATAAGATCTTGGTAGACATACACTGGAGTTCCTTCCTCACTGAGGCCAAATTTAGTACTAGAGGTCACAGTTCAGGGTTCCTTGTGCTCCATTTCGAAACACAGGTTGTCTACTCATTCTTCCCACAAACTTGCCGAGACTGACCTTGGACCCAGCCAGCCTACCCTCCCTCAGTGCGTTCAAATCAGCATTGAGGGATGTTATACTCACTAGCTTCAAGTTCTGTTTTTAACCTGCACTGCAGCACTATACATGTACATAGTTTGTTATTAGCACAGTGAGTCAAGCACATTCATTGTTATTGGAGCACACCCCCACCTGTATTGCATTGTTTTTCTCATTGTAGAAGTTTGCACTTTTCAGAAAAAAGCTGCTAAGGCCAATTATTTGTTCCCAAATTGTGGTTAAAGCATGAAATTTGGCATGTAGAGCCGAAACGGTATAACAATTAAAAAAAAAAAAAAAAAATGTTCAGCATTCCACAACCTCTTTTATAATACAGTTCTTCTGAATTTTTATTCCTTGCGCGCCCCCTCCTTTTTTTTTTTTAAATCAAGCTCTGCCCCCGAATCGGCAAGATTCAAGGTGGGTCCACCTCTTAAAATGATTTTTTGTTATACTGTTTCGGCTCTGCATGCCAAATTGCATGCATTTACCAGAATTTGGGCACAACTAATTGGTCTAAGCATCTCCACTATTACCCAGGATACGTGTACATTTGTATCTAGGCTTATGAAATATATAAAAATGTAATTTTTAAACCATTTTATTGCAACTTTATCCAACTTGTTTCCATTCTTACGTAGCATTTTTGGTTTCAGGAGGTCAATCTCAACACTTTAAATCCAAAAACGGCACTTGTTCACGAAATTAAACTCAAAATTTTCGACATTTGACCGTAGCCCCTGACCCCCATCCAACCCAGGGCAACTAAGAATGGCCATCTCAGAACCACCCCCGACGGACTATGGCATGTTACATCAACCATCAAACCCATAGGCGTAGCCAAAGGGGGGGGGGGGGGGGCAAGGGGGCAATGGACTCCCTTGTAAAAAAAAATTAAAAAAATTGCAATATATAGAGAGGGAGAGAGACTTGAAAAGAGAAAAAAAAGGGGAGGGAGAGACACAATTAATGCGGCAGTTCACATCAGATCATAGCCTGCTAGGATTAGTTGCTCATACATGTAAGACAACATGAATAGTTAATGCGGTACCCGCTGCTATGTACATACGATTTGAACCAGCCAACCAATCCGGTTAGCTCAATGGTTGAGTGGTAAGACATCTGCACTACATGTATACAGCAGGAGGTCATGGGTTCATTTTTCCAACTTTCACTCGGGAGGTAACACGCTGAGTATACAGTGTTTATACGTCGGTGAAGGGCAAAACCTAATTTGATTTGTCACCCAGACACAAAAATCCCGTCTCACTTTGTGTGGCATTGCCCGTGCGTTTCTGACGTAAACAGGTAGTCGACCAGCATTTTCACGAAGACAGAAAAGACAACATGAATTTTAAACTTTCATTTTTAATTTGCTGATTATAAACTCTAGGGTTGTGCCATAAAATTATGGTTTGTCGGGTAACCGGAAACAGAAGTATTTTTGGGGGCCTTATGACTTGTATCCAAGAGTCCGTCCATGATAGTTTTTATTATATAACCGTCATACAGATCCCTGTCATTTGATTGGTAGAACTTACATCACGTGACATTCGTTATTACTCCCATTCACGCCGGGGCTCAAAAAGTCCCACTCGCCCATAGGGAATGGGAAATACTATTGAACAGATAGGATCATTCTTGTTCCATGACGCGGTATTTGTGTGCAAATGCATGCTAGTATGGGCGTTCACATTGCGTGTAGCGCGTATTGTTCCAAAGAGCCAGCGCTACAGAGTTCGGTTCAAACATTTTGTGAAGGGGTGGTTTGGAAGAGACAAATACAGTTTCCACCAATTTTGTATTGAAATAAAAGTTCAAATATATCAAATGACAAGGATCTAGTGGCTTTAGATTGTGAAATGGAAGGAATATTATTGCTCTGTAAAATCTGGACTTTTCCAGTTCACTCAGCTTCGCCTCGTGAAATGGAAAAATCCAGATTTTAACCTTGCGATAATATTCCTCCCTCTTCACTCTGACCTGTATAACAGTGCATCTGCAGACCAATGTAGATATTTTTCTTTCAAAAAAAGCAAAACCCAAATGTTGGGACCATTGTTTTAGTGAAGTTCTGCATGTAGACCTTTCACAATATAGGATATGAAAGCCCAATTCATAGGCTTTCTTTTAGTACAGGAATCATTCAAATCACTCATGTACTTTTCAAGTTACGGAATTTTAAACACAACCACTGTTTTAAAGTTCTGTCCACGGATCACAAAAAAAGGTGTGCCTTCTTTCAGCAAAACGAAAACAATTCACACACGTCCCTTTGTGATTTGTTTTTGTTTTGCTGAAAGAACACTTACCTTGTTGTGATCCGTGGACAGAACTTTAAAACGGTGGTTGTGCTTAAAATTTGGTAACTTGAAAAGTACATGAGTGATTTGAATGATTGTTGTACTAAAAGAAAGCCTATGATTTGAGCTTTTGTATCCTAGATTTTGAGGGGCTACATGCAGAAATTCACTAAAACAATATAATGGTCCCGACATTTGGGTTTCGTTTTTTTTTTAATCACCCTGTAATAATGACTGTATATAACTACACCTTTTGTGACAGTGTACAGTACAACAATTTTGGCATGTTTATTTGAAATGTGTCACTCTGCAGTTAGATGGCCATCAGGTAAAGACATGGACAATTGTCATGATTCTGCTGGCAGTTGCTTTCTTTTCTGGAATTCTTGTTTTCTTGCTGTACAGGCACAACAAACTCCCCTGCACCAGACCAAGGTAAATGATAAGATTTTTATCACTATATGTCCGGTGTACTTTATGAAATGTTTTGGTGTAATTTAATGTAAACAAACTGCAATTTGTTATCTGTGGGATTCATATGTGCTTGAAAACAAGGGCAGATGATTGCAGTTAAGCAGAACTTCAGGTATGCAGTTCGATATATTTCTGCTACTTAATGCCGAAAATTGCAGGGTTTTGCATCAGAAAAAAACCCCAGATAAATGCCTACGTGCATATTTTGCAATGGAAAACCTTACAGACCTAATGTTGATTTTCAAAACCTAAGACAGTTTACCCATTTCTATTGGTCGAGAGCCCGTCACGTGGCTGTCACGTCACGATTGACAAAGACTGGCTGTCTAGGCCTAATTTCACAACACTGCTAAGCAAAAAAAAAAATGCTTATGTAGATACGATAGTTTGTGGTATAACTGGCAGGAACATTAACCCTGAATTTAGTAATATGTCCAGATTGTTGATCACCAAATATTCGCTGAGTAATTTGATACTCACATTTGTAATTGCATATGCCAAGAAATCAGTTTACCACGCTGTTGAATCAAATCATGAAGGTTTTGACCTTTCAGCTTGGCATCATACCGCTACTCACAGCTTAGTGATGGAGACAATTTGGATAAGATGATTGACTTGGAATCTCATCCAACATATCATGACTCCTCCGATGAGGTAAGCACTGCCTATTCAATTGTTCAAAACATTGTTGGTGTTTTTAAGCCCATATGACATTAACTTAAAGGCTAATTTTCAAAGCCCTCTATCCATGCAGGAACTGCAAATCAAAAACCCTGTGATCTGTCTAGAGTCAGACACTTCCTCTTGTTATGCCCTGCCGGCGAATCATACTGTTTCCGCCTTGTCCGTCCGTGTGCGTGTGTGCGTGTGCATTTGGTTCCACAGCGATATCTGGATTGTATCCATTTATGTCTTGGACCTTGATACAATTAAGGTAGCTTTCTACTCTAGTGTAGCTTACAGAAAATGAATAAGTTTGGACCCTATAAGACAAAGCCAAGGTCATTGGGATTAAAACAATAGGATTTTATTTATTTATTTATTTATTTTTTTTTTTTTTACCAAACCAGTATACATGTGCAAATGTAATCACTCACTAAAATATTAGGGGGCCTGCACACTGTTTATACATTTTTTTAAATATTTTTTTTTGTATTATCAATGTGGCTTCTTCACCCTTTTTTCTTGGACAGTCATATTTTTAATTGAAACAACAGAAAAAGTTTTCTCAACAATTACATGTACATGTATTACTAAAACTTGAGACTTGAACCGTAATACATGTATATGTATATGCAGCTCCGTAGGTTGTTCTTAGGATTTTGAGTCACTTTCGGACCCCATAGGCCAACTGTTCTCTATTTAATTATAAAAAAAAACAAAGAAATGATGTCATGATGATAACTCAAGCTTATTCAAATAACCATATTTTCTTTTGATTGTTTAAAAATTCTTATTTCCATGTACATGTAGGCCTGGTAAATGCTCAAGGGATTATGCTCAAAGGATTTGCCTTTGAGAAATGTCTTGCTTAAGATTGAAAATATCCAGTCAGTTTGCTTAAATCACATACAATGACTTCCTAACAGAAAAGCAAAAAAAACCCAAAAAATCATTATGGGATCATAGGCATCAATACATTACATATATAACCTAAAGAAAACAATAACGATGTCAATGAATGTTCCATGTGACCCAGGTAAGTTGATGTTAATAGAGTGGTGTTATGTCATGGAAATAGGCATGGTTGCGGGGCATTTGTGTTTTTTAACACTACTTTTCTTGTTCTTATTTAAATCTGATTTGATATTTCAAAGACTCAAATCTTAACTAGAGGTTCGCGTTTGTTGAGTTACAAACACAGAGTGGTTGGGCGGACATCCTTTTCAATATACACTGCCCAGTTAAGTTGGGAATGAATGTTCATCACTGTAAGAACAAAGGATCACCAAATAAACTCCCTTCCAGTACAATCAATTATTTTGTTACAAAAATGTATCTTTAACGCTATGATAAATTTCAGTAAACATTCTATGTACGCAAACAAGTTATTTCTGGTTTGATGATGTCATCAGTCAAAAAACGGTAAGTGAATACTGAGGAAAAGTTTTCATTGTGAAGTAAAAAAAAACTTTTGAAAAAACGGAAAATATAATTCTATGTATTAATTACACCTAACTTCTGGTTTGATGATGCCACAGCTTTAGAGATCCAAAGGTGAACATTGTAATGTATATCGTTATTTGGACTACGAGGATATGACAGGGATCAAATGATAGAATTTAATTAAAAATACGATCCTTTTCAAATTCTCCTCAAAGTAACTTCCGGTCACATGACGTCATAAATTTGAAAAACGTCACAAATTGTAAAATTTGAATAGATGGTTTTCAAATCAAAGAAAGCAAAAACACTTATATGTGCCGCTAGGGGGCACCCTTTTGAATGATGACGTCATCACTCTTGTTTTTTGTGACCAGTGGCGTAGCCATGGGAGGGGGGGGGGGACAGCCCCCCCCCCCTTGAAACCTTGTCGCCCCCCCAGTCTTCCCCCAGTGAGATTTTGAGTTTCTAAAAAAATTACCATTGATCTACATGACGCCCCCCCATGAAATGTTCCAGCCCCCCCAGCACCCCCCCACTGAAAAATTCCTGCGATTGGTGTTGCAGTCCGGCGTTAAAAAAATGGGTTGGCTTTACTGCAAGCACTCCCAAAGCAGAAGTAATATATGTATGGCATTATTGCTTGGCATATATACAAGCTACTTTTATGGGTTTTTTTTGGCAGCAACTTGAAACTTAACTTTGAGAATACACTTTTGTTGTTAAAAAAAAAGTTTTTTCCACCTTTTTATTCATTGCATATCACCACCGAATGTTCTTATTCGAAAATAAATATTTGAATATTCGATTATCGATCGAATAACCGAATATTCGAATATTCGGCACAGCCCTAATTTTAAGTGTATGTAATAATAGCACCCAACTTCCGGTTAGATGATGTCATAGTATTTGGAAGCAATAGGTCAACATTAAGTATAACAGACGTCATAAATTGGACTAGGAACAAACTCATGAGACAGGGGTCAAATAATGGATGTAAATAAACAGAACAGATGAAATGAACACCATACTCTATATAGTTCAAGAGCTATAGCTCAAACCATTTTGTCAAATTGTGCTCTCAAATCGCTTGTAATTTGATACCCGATGACGTCATGATGATGTGTAACAAGGTTTATACATCTTTATAACATGGTTCAAGTTCACACTAGGTTTTATGATCATCCCGTGAACCGTTCGGAAGAAATAGTGCTTTGTTTTGATTTCAGGCTGTCTTCGTTTTGAATTCACCTAACTTTGACCTTCCAGTAGACCGGGAAGTAAACCAGTAGACCGGGAAGTAAAGGTCAAGCGAGTTTAGGCAAAAAAAAAAAGTCTGCAGTTTCTGGTATGGTATGGAGCTTGCCCAAAAAGTGGTGCGGCGACGCGGCTTTTTTTTTTTTTTTTTACCGGTTTTTTTTTGGGCTTCAAATGTCGGCTGATGACTGCATGAAAATGGTGCCCAACTAAACTTAGTGCAAATATATGGGATTCACAGAGGCCACTTAAAGCTTATTCTCGATCGTAACCCCATCTAAAAACACGTTAAAATTGTGCAGCAGCAGGATTCCAGTCAAACCAGTGAGTTTTGCGGTTTGAGACATCATCTTTCATTGGAAAAAAAACTTTTTCATTTTGCCGACGCGCATGACTACGGCTACGCGCGCGCATACCAGAATCCGGAGACTTTTTTGTTAGCCTTACGTACACGACAAAAAATGTTTAGCAATTAATGGTCTATCCGATAACAGAATGCAAACATCATTGATGATTTAATTCAAGAGTTATATGTAAAGTAATGGTCACTTTTTCAGCTAAAATCACTTGTAATTTGACACCTGATGACGTAATCATGATCGATTCTGGCCAGGCGATGGTAGATTAGCATATTCATTAGCGTCACTCGGCTTTTTTTTTGGCGTGGGTCTTGGTATTGACCAATGGCAGCCAGCAAAAAGGATGATATTTATCAGTTAACAACTCGTGAAGGAGGCTCTTCTTCAAACTTATACTGCATACCATATTGAATGGGAACCTTATTAATATTTGTGAGTCTTGAAAAGATTGACAGATATTGCAAATGCTAGTCTACCAACTTTCAAAACTGCACGTAGCCAGGCGTATTTTTCCAATTTCAACGAAAGGTAATGAACACATCACTACGATTTTTAGCACGTACTTGGATCATTATGTCAGGAAAGTAAACCTGAAAGTTGCATGAAGATACGGTCTTCCAAATGGGAGAAATAATTTTTTTTCAAAGATTTCGCCTGCCAACGTGAACATGTGTGTGTACATGTAGTTTCATTCAAAATGAAGTGTTACGTAACCTTTAGAAATCGCCCTTCGCAACCACATGACTGATGATTTCAGCTTAATAATGCCAGGTCCGTCTATCAGAAATTGATATCATTAACCTGGTATCAATATATTTGATGTATCGAAAATTAGAACACCACACCTACAGATTCTTTATCTTGATTGGCCAAGAGCTAGTCTAACTTTTGCTACTTTTGCTATCCTGCTGTGCACTGTCAAAAGTACTTTATCTTCAAGTAAACTTGAATCCTCGATCCTGATTGGTCGATCCATGGCAACAAGCCATGCTACATAACCATACCGCACGGCCACGGTCCATACCGCACTCTGCATATTCCGCTGTTCCAAGATACAAGCACCATTGCAGCTGCATATGCTGAACTGCTGAATGTCCGTGTAAAGCGTGCTAGTTCCAACTGTACTGCGCATCAAGTTTGCTTGAAGATAAATTCGTTATCACGCTCGCGCTCGTGGAACACGGAAATGTAGTGCGTCTGCATACCATGAGCAGACGCACTACATTATTCCGTGTTCCACTCGCGCTCGCAGGATAACGAATAATATCCGTCGCAACCAAAGTACTTTACCAGTAGCAACCAAAGTACTTTACGCATAGCAATTGTTATTGTGTGGAAATGTATAGGGGTGTACGTGTTGCACGTATCTTCCCAATCGCTTGCGCTACAGAGCTGGGTTCAAGCATTTTGTGAATGGGTAGTTTGGAAAGTGCTCGTAAATTTGCAACTAATTTCGTATTCAAATAGAAGTACATTGTAATTGCATTTACATTAAATTAATCAGTTATCACTTAAAATCAAGCAGAATCTGTGGGAGAGAGGTGTCAAAAAACAAATAGTGACTGCAATATTTCATGGTGTAGTAAACCTATTAGTAGACATCATGAAAAACATATATGCATTTCGACGTTCCAACTATAAAATGAAATTGTGAGTTTAAACCTACCAGTCACTTCAAGGGAACTATTTTATAATGTTTGTATTTGAGATAGAAACAAAATTCCTGCATCAGGGTCTTTCCTTGACACAAAGCTTTGTTTTTCAGTGGTCCAACCATGTTCCATCACATACAGACACATCGGCTGCGTTTTTTTTTGTTCCCTGATATCATTTTCTCATATCACATTTTAATTATGCCCCGCCGGCAAAGCAGAAGGGGCATACTGTTTCCACCTTGTCCGTACTGTTTCCACCTTGTCCGTCTGTGTGTGCATGTGCGTGTACAAACACTGCCTTATGGGGTACCGGAACAATGGGGGGTACGGAACAAGG